TCCTTACTGAAAAAAAGCATCTGTCCAGAACTTAATCAACAAAAAAGTTAATGCATTTAAGACTGCTTAAAAAGTTAAGATCAATCAATCAAAGGTGCACCTCTGAGTTCATGTGGTCATTAGTGGTTCTATTGAAGATCTAAGCTATTGCAACAAAGAAGTAGAGAGAGTGTTTATTCTGGCAGAAGGAAGCAGATGTGATTTTTGTATGATGTTGTAAATTAGCTGGATTCACTTGATGGGCCACAGGTAAACCAATAAATACTATTTGAATGAAAAACGTTGACTCTGCCCACACTCATCATTTTGGTACTTAACTCTGAAAGAGAAATTTCTGTTATGAAATAGTCAGGAGTTATGGTGTGAATTTAATTCTTGACAGTACTCAAATCTACCATGCTGCACAGGAGTCAAAATGTCATAAAATGATAAAATGCTATTAACGACACAAAGAATTCCCCATGCAGATTATCCAACTGCAAGAAGTACATGTAAGAGCATAATTGTGGTGACGTAGATAGTGTTCAGATGCTGGTTTGTCTATTATTACTTTTATGTCTATAGTCTCCATTATGGATCAAAAGTTCCATAGAAGTGGATTGGCAACTAAGAAAGGTGAAACAAGCCTGACACCTGTTATGAAATGGGGCTGCAAGCAGATAAAGCCACACTGACTCTTAGTTGTTCTCTGTCAGAAACAGAGGGGTCTGACTAGGGAAAGAGGGTAAAGACAGAAGAATTAAAATAAAAACATCATATTTGCCTACTGTGAAAAATAATATTTTCTCTGTAATAGGAACTGCTATCACAAAAGGGAAAAGTAGGAGCAGCAGAGTTTCCCCCAAAATACCCCAAGAAGTTGACGTCTTTGATAGAATTATTTTCAGGATTTAAATTCATAGACTTGATTAATTTTAAACATTTCACATGCTGTTCAACAGCAAGCTGTATGTTCAAGAAATTCTAGTTTAAAATTTGTTCTTTACCTAATCTGTTAGATGACCTCATAAAAAAAGCCAAATGAGTGTAGCACTAGAGAAAGAACCTCTGAGGAGGGGATGACATGAAAGGGAGGCTTGACATAGACTTGGGACGTTGGCAGGTGGGAGATGTCCCTGGTTCCAGGCAGAGCTGGCAAACTGGTGTGTGCTCTGCAGAAGCGACACTCATATGGAAGCTCTGCTTTTGGCCTATTGCAGGTAGAGTAAAATGGATAACCTCTGCTGAATCAATGCTTGGCTCTGTACAACCATGTAGAGTGTCCCTGCAAAGGTGACTGTGATAAAAACACTGTGAGGCAGCTCTAAATGGAGTCTGATGAACACAGTAGGGCTGTCCAAGTGCAACTAGGGCAAGGGTAGCATTACTAAGAGGCTGAATAAAATTCAGCAAAACATTAATTTTTTCAAGCAGTTCTCATGTCAGAAAATGAGGAACTCCCTACGTTATGGACAGTGCTGTCACTGGCCTCAATTCTCTGCTGAGAGTTAGAAGAACATAAAACCCAGCAGCAGCAAAACAGTGACTATCCAGCGGGGAGATGCCATGGGATCTGCAACTGTAGGCTGCAAGTGGATATATATCAAGCACTGATACTGTATGGATTATTTACATGATGATACTGTGAAGAGAAATTTATGGTGGAAGTTTAAAGCACATTTAAATCCCTGTGCGGACATCTCTTCATATTCAATATTTGAAAGCAGGGCACAATATGAGACAGGAAGAAATAAGACTCTGTGTTTCTTCAAGTGTTAAATTCTGCTCAGAGAAGCTGTGCTATAATTGATTCTGAGTCAAACAGAGCTTAGGACAGAGGCAGTTTAATAAAATCTTAGTTAGTTCTTTTTCAGAAATCCATGCCTAGGAAAAAACAAAACCAAACCAAACCCCAGCATCATGTACAAAAACAACGTAAGACTTGCATCAAAATTCCTAGTCTGAAGTAGATGTTTTGTCTCTGTATTGAAGAGACATCAATTTGATAGATGGACTACTCGGTGGATAAAGAACTGGCTGGATGGCCGCACGCAAACAGTTGTGGTCAATGGATCAATGTCCAGCTGGAGACCAGTAACGAGTGGTGTCTCTCAGGGATTGGTGTTGGGACTGGTCTTGTTTAACATCTTTGTCACTGACATGGACAGTGGGATTGAGTGCGCCCTCAGCAAGTTTGCCGATGACACCAAGCTGTGTGGTTCGGTTGATACGCAGGAGGGAAGGAATGCCATCCAGAGGGATCTTGACACATTTGTGAGGTGGGCTGATGCCAACCTTATGAAGTTTAACCATGCCAAGTGCAAGGTCCTACACCTGGGTCGGAGCAATCCCAGGCACAGCTACAGGTTGGGCAGAGAAGAGATTCAGAGCAGCCCTGAGGAGAAGGACTTGGGGATGCTGGTTGATGAGAAAATGAACATGAGCAGGCAGTGTGCGCTTGCAGCCCAGAAAGCCAACCGTATCCTGGGCTGCATCAAAATGACCGTGACCAGCAGGTCGAAGGAGGTGATCCTGCCCCTCTACTCTGCTCTTGTGAGACCTCACCTGGAGTATTGTGTGCAGTTCTGGTGTCCTCAACATAAAAAGGACATGGAACTGTTGGAACAAGTCCAGAGAAGGGCCACGAGGATGATCAGGGGACTGGAGCACCTCCTGTATGAAGACAGGCTGAGAAAGTTGGGGCTGTTAAGCCTGGAGAAGAGAAGACTGCATGGAGACCTCATAGCAGCCATCCAGTATCTGAAGCGGGGCTCTAAGGATGCTGGGGAGGGATTCCTCATTAGGGACTGCAGTGATAGGACAAGGGGTAATGGGTTAAAACTTAAACAGGGGAAGTTTAGATTGGATATAAGGAAGAAGTTCTTTACTGTGAGGGTGGTGAGGCACTGGAATGGGTTGCCCAAGGATGTTGCAAATGCTCCATTCCTGGTGGTGTTCAAGGCCAGCGTAGACAGAGCCTTGGGTGACATGGTTTAGTGTGAGGTGTCCCTGCCCATGGCAGGGAGGCTGGAACTTGAAGATCTTAAGGTCCTTTCCAACCCTAACTATTCTATGATTCCACGATTCTATGTTAAAATTATATTCTTTCGCTCATGAGTTAGGGACATACATTGCAATATCATGCTACTCATATGCTATATATTCTCTGAAAAGTAAGTACAACACAGTTCTTTCAAAGGTACCTCTACAAGCAAAGACAGTTTATTTCCTAAAGGAAGAGTTCTTTCAGTATCTTGCCTGTATACTCTGCTATGGTAAAAAAATAAAAAATAAAAAAAATCACTGCATTTTAATCTTTTCTTATTCTTTTGTCTTTCATTCTTCTTTTATATTGTTCTTGCCATTTTCTGAACGTAAATGTCTAGATCAGTGAAGAGATCCTTGGCCCTCCACTAATAATTAGCATTTTGAGACAGACTGAAGTCAATGACCTGTAGATTAAAAGCATTATAGCCTGTTACTGGTCTACCAGGATAGCTTGCCCTAGTGTCATTTAGCAAACAGGTCCTCTAGTTTGTGATCTTCTATATTAATTGTTTAAAAAGGAATTAATCCTAAAATAATTAATGCCAGTTCATACTGTTATCATCTATCTGCAGGTTTTTGTTCACTCCAGCTTTAAATGTAATGGGATTCTCCCTTTCTGTCCTTCATGGTTCAATCTCTGTAATTGTAATTCATGGTCAAGATATCTGTCATTGCTCCTTTTGCTGGTTAGTAGTTCATACAACAATGGAAGCTATCTGCCAAGCAGCACCTGTCTTTTTAATAATTCAAGATCTTAAATAAATAAAATGGAGTATGTACCTGCTGCCTTATTTTCTTTAAACTCACTCATCCCTCTCATACACATTTCATGCCAAAAGCTGTAGGTTAAGAGACGCTGAATTGTCATTACCTCGTACAGTGAAGTTGCAATAAGGAAAATCTTTGCTTTTCTGACTGTTTCCCTACAAAGAGGGATAACAATTTCTAGCCACTGTCAATATGAGTGTGACAGTTGTTTAAGTTAGCCAAGATGCATGCCTGAAGTGAATGTATTTATACTGTCTGTGCTTTTAAACAATTACAATGAAATTCAAATACCTTCATATGGAATTAAGTTCAACACAGTATTTTTTAGAATATGAATTATTTTGACTTTTTATTTAATAAAAAACTTTACTCTTTATGTTATTTCTATTGGTTTATTTCTTTAACTTTTCAATTGGGATAGCTTACTATGTAAAGTTCAGACAGCATTAAGCACAACAAAGTTAGGAATTTGACTGTTACATCCATAATGATGTAACTGTTCTGCTTATGGTCTTCATCATAGAGGTATTGTGATTACTTACAATGTACCTACAAAGTGTAATTTTAAACAGAAAACTACTTTTTGCAATTTCACAGGTTGGGAACTGACCCACAGGGACCAAATCCAGATCCTCAATTGCCGCTTAAAGATCTTCATACCACCAAGTTGATTGCAATGTGTGGCCACTTTGAGCATCTGACCTGGCAGAATTGTCCAGTGCCAGAGATGGAGTCTTTAGTGGAAAAAGGATCATGAATATGAACCTTTTATGCTTTAGGCACTAAGCATGAAGACATCTTTCCATTTCATTTTTTAATATCCACTTCAAATTTTGTTTTTCAATCAGCATATATTTGAATAATCAAACATTTATTTTTATCAAGAGAGAGTCTGAAATGTGAGAATTCACTGTTCTGTACTTTTCCCTCAAGCAATCTGTGGAAAGGAAAAATCTGTATTTCATAGATAACATGGCCATTAGCAGCTCAGTCTGCTGCTTCTGACCAGCAGTATTATGTCACGCATAGTTTTGATTTCAGAATTGAAAGCAGCAGGTATTCATTTTTCCCTTACTATTTCAGACATACTGTATCTTGTTAGATAATATATGTTGCAACTTATCAAAAAACAAGAACATTTTGATAACTGAAGAATGGTTATTAAAAATCCCTCGAGCAATTAATAATGTAGGTAAGAGGCAGACCTGGTGTGCATGGGGGAGCAGGGAGGTGTTATCTTCCTTGTGTACAGCCTCTTCCAGCCTGAAGGTTTTCAGAGCACATCTGGAGGTACAGCAGAAGCATTACTCAACTACTACACTGTGATGTGGATGATTTCAGTGGCATAAGAAGAATCAGATGGTCAAAGCACTAGCATGGCCTTGTCATCCTTGTCATCAGGCAGTAAAACAAGGTGTGATGTTCTGAGAGATATTAGTCTGCCGATTTCCATGACAAACCACCACTGTTAGTGACTGTTTTATCCTGTTACATAAGATCACACTGATGTTTCTTCAGAAGGTGTTGAAGATAACAGCTCTTTTGGAAAGAAGATAAAACAAAACAACCACAAAGAGAGAGGCACAAAACAGCACTGGTAGAAAGAAGCAGCAGCTCTTGTCTCTCAGACCATACCTGACTTGCAGACCATAATCTTCTTTTGGTCCATCTGCACTTTTCATACTTATATCAAATCATATAGTGCCCAGGGCAATGGCTGAATAAGTACCTGAATAAATCTCACCTTTCTGCTGACTAATTTCTGATTTACCATTTTTAATCTCCAGGCTCTGCTCTCTTTGAAGGATTTTGTTCTCTCTAGCTATTTATGTAACATGCACAATGATTCTTAGCTCCTGCTACAAAGAGCGGCTTTTGGGAGCCTTGAGAAACCTTGTGCTCCCCCTTCCTGGAGCTACTCAATGTCAAAAATAATGGAAAAGGGAAAAAAAAAAAGAAAAGATTGTCTTTGGTTCTCAGGGAGGGCCTGTGAGGTGAAACAAGGTAATATACCATTATAGATTATATCCCTAGGGTATTCCTGTGAGCAGCATTCTGGATGAACTGTGTTTCAAGGACTCCTTAATCCAAGACATGCCTGTAATCTTTGAAGTAGGAACTAAACCCCTGTGCTCCTTCTTGATCCCCTATGCAAGGACCCTTCACCCAGCAGAAAAGGGTGTTATGCTGCTTCTTGTGTAACTCGCATTCTAACTCTCTCACTCAACAAAGTTGCCTTCTGAGCTGCTTTAAAACCCACACAAAATTCCCTGGTGCTGCAAATATGAAGCCTGCAATACTTCTGTACAGTTATTGCCAGCAGCACGCCCATGACTCTGGATTTTCACCACACAGCATCATTAGCACTTAGACTGCAAGCTGCTTGGGCTAAAGACTAGCTGGGGGGGGGACTAGTTTTGTCAAGTACTGTGTGCAGCTATGGCGTTTGAATGAATCATAATGCAGTATCAGACTGCCATGTGGCATCACTGGGCTGCCATGTCAGGCAAAACATTATATATAGCAAAATGAATTCAATGGAAGTGAAAAAAGGCCTTGGGATATTTAAGGAAAAGAATGGTTTGACTCCTGTTGTAAAAGGAAAATGGGGGTGAGGAGGAAGAGAGAAAAAAGAAAGACTGATTGCCCAAGTGTGTGCATATTATAAAGCTGTCATTTACAGGAATGAAATAAAAATAAACTCCCTTTCTACTACTGACATAGTCTAATAACCTGCACTGCTTTATGTAGAATCTGCACAGAGCTAATGACTTCAGATCTTGCTGACCCTGTATGGCTCAGTTCCCAGAGTCCTACTGAGCATATGGGGAAAATAGCCAGGTTTTGTACAAACACAAATGTTTGCTTGAGCTGAGCCCAGGACCAATACAGTCAAACCATCATCTTGGGATAGAAAGTTTTGTTGCCAAGTAAAAATTTAATCCGGAAGCTGATAGTCAGTAAGAAATAGAGTTGTTTCCTCAGACAGGCCTTCTCTGCTATGAAAATCAAATCCATGGTGAGAGGAGCAGATTGTAAAAAAATTGTACTAGGATGATGTCTAAATACCTCCTAAAAAAGGATTTATGATTTTAGTCTACTCCTGAAGGGAGTTTGCAGAACTACAGGACCCCTGGCACTGATGTGGGGATTGCAGATAGCACAAATTAGGCTCTAAATAATGGATCAAAAAGAGGAGCCTCAAAAGCTACATTTTATTGCTCTTCGGGGAATAGCGCAGACTATTATAAAATACTGCAGCTTATGAAGCTCCAATAGCATTGTGCAGTTTAAAGGAAAAAAAAAAAAGCCTCCAGGAAAACAGGGAAAGCTCAGTGGCAGTGAGCCGGGTAGAGCTACACTTTCTTATTGTAGGAGACAGTGGTACATGGGGCAGGGATGGTGCAATGTCCTAGAGATGGCCACATCCCAACCTTACGCAGTGTTCAGCACCTTGCCTTTCAATCTTGTACAACTTAATGTAAACTTGTGATGCCTCGGTGCTTCAGTTTTCAATCCTACATTCTTAAAATAAAGCAATGGTGATTATATGACCTGGTTAAGAAAGAGCAATCATGGGATGATGATATTCAGGTATATTCAGTTGGTTGCTGCTACCAATTTTTGTCTGAGCATGAGCATACCAGAAACCATCTCTGCTTCTTCTGTCAGAAGGGGCAGACATCATCAGCATAAAACAGCCTTTGTTAATTCAAGTTGTATTATGATATAAGACATGTCCTCAATTAAAGCTATACAGCATGCTTACTTATGGCTCTGGGGTCTTTTGCCAATTGATTTTGGGTTGGAAAAAAGCAAACAAAACCCCAAAGTCAATTATGAGCAATAGAAATTAAGTTAAAATTAAATGTAAATAAATACTAGATTGAAATATAAATTAAAACATGTCAGAGAAAAGTAGTTTATTTTCACCTGAAACATAAACAGGCCAATAGCAGCAAATGCTTGGCTATCTCTAAGCAAATCTAGAGCTTGCTTGCCAGACTCAATCTCTGGTGATGAGCTCCTTGCAGCTACATGCAAGACTCAGTAAGAAAACAGATGGTACACTGGAGCTTTGCTTCATGAAGAATAATAGATGAGTAGATAGAGACTCTCAATCTCAGAGTGGCACACAGGCTGATCAGAATCCTAATCACAACCACCCTGTGATAAAAGACTCTGAATGAAGAATGAATTAAGGTGGTTTGGTCTGTTTTATCAATAAAAGTAATAGTAAGATATATTTCTTACAATTCTTTAAGCAGAAGGCTCACAGGAGCGATACATATTGCTTACAAAGGATCATGAAGTGAGATAAATCACTCTGTCCATTTAAGGGTTGTGTGTTTGCTGCCTCTGTATTATCAGCAAGATTATTCCCTGAATTTTGGCAAATGCATAAGAATATATAAAAAATATACAGACCAAAATTCTCCTTCTGGCATCTTTTGTCCCTGCACTGTGAAGCCTGGCACAGGTTAGAAAACAAATCATCTGCTCTGTGTTGCCCTGTTTTGTTATTATGATGCATTAGAAACTAATTCAGGATTCTGTCATCTAGAAATATTTGAGCAAGATTTCCATATTTGAAAAACAATTTCCTGTCAAGAAGGTAATAACAAGTGAAATAACATCAATATAACTGGAATATTAGGACAGCCTAAAAGTAATGATATTGCAGCCTAAGGTATTAGAAGGAAATAGCTTAAATTATTCAGGAAGTAAACTGATGTCATGTGGTCAATGCACTACATATTTCACATATCCCAATTAGAATTAATGTAATAATAAAGATTGATTATTAAGTAATAAACACTGGCCAAACAAATTACTGTAAACATAAGTCAAATCTGCTAGGACAGCATACCTCTTTCTCTGTCTGCAGAGCAGACCTTGAAACAAGCCAGAGTAGAACAAACAATTCTTCACAGATATTTTCAGACTTCTTTGTCCATCTTGCAAATATAGATCAAGCTATCTTTGAAGCTACTGAAAACTTTGTACACACTGTTTGTTCAGTGTGTTACTGTCCAACATGTGACAATAATAATTAAAAAAAAAAAAAATATTTGGGCTTACCTGTGTGAGATTGCACCAGTTACCTATGCTGGTTATAATGAAATGGAGTAAACTATACAGGGAAACTGTGCATTTTTGTTTGTATGTATGGCAGTATCAATTAATTTGGTAAAAGCAGACTCATTTATGGACTTCTAGGCTTTTTACTGAAAGTAAGCAATGATTTGTGCTACGGAGATTTTAATACTGAATTGTACCCCTTCATAAATAGCGATTCAACAAGTGTGACAGACTGCAAAGCCCTGCAGCTTTCATGAAATGCCGTTCCCTTCTTACTGTCTTTCAGATGGTGTCAAGTGGTACAAAGTTGTGCCAAGATACAGTCAGCAGCAAAGAATATCTCTACCACCTTCCTTTTAATTCATTGCAAATAGTGCATTTTCATCTGCAGGTACAAGCTCATCTTGCCTACAAGATAGAAAAATGAAGCTGAATTTTGGATCATGGGCTAATACAAGACCCTTCATCCCAGAGCCTTCAGACTGTGGGATGGGATTCAGTCTAGTTTCACATGCAAGCACTTACAAAAAACCTGCAAACTAACTGCGTAAGCCCCTTCAAATCCTTCATATTTGTTTTCACCTTTTCTGAGTAATTCTCATTAAACTAAACTTCTAACGTGGCACTGCTGCTGATCTGTTCTCAGACATTGCTCTTTCATTGCTTTGAGTTGTGCAAGCCTTCAGGCTGCATGAAGTTGCAAGTCCATTGTTCTAAGGGCGTTTATCTCAAGAAACAACCAAGGAAATGGAAACAGAAGAATTTCCACCTCATGCTGTACAGTGCTGCTGTGAAAAGGCAGATCCGTCTTGCTTGTGTGCATCAAAAGGCAGTGAAAACCACGTTATATGGACAAAACTTTTTTTTTTTTTTACTATGTTTGGCATTAGAACACAGAAAGAATTTGAAGTATTCAAGACCTATTACAAAATTAACAATGGAATACTTAATTGATTAGGGGGCAAACATACCCATGCAAGACTTAAAGCAGCATATAGAATTCACCACTTCAGAATGATAAAGATGAAAAAATGGAAGTCTTTGTTCCAGATTTACCTTATCACAAGTGTCTGTCCCCACTGTACGTTGCTCTGGTCAGCATGTGTAAGCTGATGATATGAGAATTCAGTTGGTCTTTTCAAATAAAGCTTACCTTCAAAGTTACAATAAACCAGTACTCTCAGAAGTCATTGGTAAAGATG